CTCTGTGTGGGAGCTGTAATTCACTTGCTGATTTGGGAGATAGTCATTTCTGAGATCTTTTGGTACCTTCCCCAAAGTCTGGATTATTTTCTTCTTAAGGTGGGTGTGTACTCAAGGACAGGTAAATCTGCTTTGGATGGGGAAGAAAGATAATCCTGTTTCTCCTGAGATTAGGGAGGAGCAGGGGGAGAGGAAGAGAAAGAAAGTCGTCCATCTTAAAAATAAGCTGCAGGCTGGGTGCAGTGGTGCACGCCTGTAATCCCGGAGGCTCAAGAGGTTGAGGCCAGTCTAAGCAATGGCAAGGTGCTAAGCAATTCAGTGACACCATGTCTAAATAAAATACAAAATAGGGCTGAGGATGTGGCTCAGTGGCTGAGTGCCCCAGAGTTCAATCCGTGATACTGCCCCCCTCCACAAAAAAAAAAAAAAAAAAAAGTTGCAGTGGCAGAGCAGCAAGGGCTACATTCAAAGCGCAAAGTGGACCTCTGCTACAGTACTGGGGACTGAACTAGGGTCTTGCACAGGCTAGGAAAGTGCACTACCACTGTTTTTCACCCCCAGCCTTTTTGTTTGTTTTGAACCAGGGATTGAACCCAGAGTCATTTAGCCACTGAGTCATATCCCCAGCACCCCCTCCCCTCTATTTATTTATTTATTTTTGGTAGGGGGGGATTGAACTCAGGGGCACTCAACTACTGAACCTCATCTCCAGCCCTGATTTGTATTTTATTTAGAGACAGGGTCTCACTGAGTTGCTTAGCACCTTGCCATTGCTGAGCCTGGCTTTGAACTTGAGTTCCTTGGATCTCAATATCCTGAGCTGCTGGGATTGCAGGTGTGCACTACTGTACCAGCCTTAGGTTTTATTTTGAGACAGGGTCTTACTAAGTAAGTAGGGCCTTACTAAGTTGCTGAGATTGGTTTCAAATTTTCAATTCTTGCCAGGTGCAGTGGCTCAGGCCTGTAATCCCAATGGCTCGGGAGGCTGAGACAGGAGGATTGGGAGTTCAAAGCCAGCCTCAATAATGGGGAGGCACTAAGCAACTCAGTGATACTCTGTCTCGAAATAAAATACAAAATAGGGCTGGTGTGTGAGGCACTGGTTGAGGTCCCCTGAGTTCAATTCCCAGTACCAAAAAAAAAAAAAAAAAAAAAAAAAATCATTCTCCTGCCTCAGCCTCCTGAGTTGCTGGGATTACAGGCATGGTTCCCCGGCCCCTTTTATTTTTTAAATTAATTTATGGTTATACATAGTAGTTGGGTCCATCCCAATAAACTCATTCAGGCATGAAAATCAATTTTGTTCATGATTCCCCAGCTTTTCCTTCCCCTTTTTCCTCTCATCCTCCCCCCCCCTCCCCTTTCCCAGCACTTTTTAAATTTTTTGAGACAAATTTTTTTTTTGAGGCTAAACTGCTCAGGCTGACCTTGAACTTGCCACCCTCGTGCATTGGCCTCCTGTCCTCCAGGTTTTCTTTGGATGGTTTGGGCATGGTTGGTCCCCCAAGGTTCATTGTTGGAGCCCCAGTGTGGTGGAGGTGGAGCCAGGGGTGTGGGAGGGAGGGCAAAGGTGAGCACAGGAGGCTGGCCCCTGGATAGCTGCTGTTGGGTCTTCTGTGTGTCTGCCTGCTTGTGTCTGCTTTAGTCTCTAACTAGCCAGTTTTGTGGTTAAGAAGCCTCAAGCTACTTGCAGCAGACTGAAGGGCACACCCAGAGAACCGACATGGCTCTTCCCAACCCTTCTTGAGATGTCCTGCAGGCTCAGATGGCCTCAGTCTTTCCAGTGTGGACAACTTTCTCTTAAAAATTTTTTTTCTGAAAATGCCCGAATTTGGGGCTGGGGATGTGGGGAGAGACTGGTCTGCCACTGAACTACACCCTCAGCTCCTTCTATTTTAATTGTGAGACAGAGTCTCACAAAGTTGCCCAGACTGGTCTAGAACTTGGGATCCTCCTGCCTCAGTCTCTCAAGTCTCTGGGCTGGGACTGTTTGAATTTGCATTTCCTTGGCTTTGGAGGCTTCTTCTTCTTCTTCTTCTTTTGTACTGGGAATTGAACTCAGGGGTGCTTAACCACTGTGCCACTTCCCCAGCCCTTTTTAATATATTTTATGTAGAGACAGGATCTCACCGAGTTGCAAGTGCCTTGCTAAGTTGCTGAGGATGGCTTTGAACTCGCAATCCTCCCATCTCAGCCCTCTTTTCCTTCTTTGGGGGCCACTGTGGAATGTCTTTGTCTATTTTCTATGGAAGTGCCCCCATCTGCTTTCCCTGTTGACTGGACCCTCTGGTATTTTGGGAATGGAAACCTGACACAATGGCCAGTTTGCTGCTGCAGCAGTGGCCCTGCTATGGGGTTGGAAGGTGACCCCACGCTCAGGTGGCATGTTGCAGTGGCTCCGACTACTTCTCTGGAGCTTCCCTGGGGCAAGGCAGGGTACAGCCGGAAAGGAAAAGGGCCCAAAGAGCCTGGAGCCTGGCTGAGGGAAGGACTGAGAGACAAGCCACCTGTGCCCTGGGCAAGGTGACACCTGCAGGAGAACCAGAGGGAGGTACCCGCAGAGGACAGCAGGACTGTGGTGACTGAAGGTATATATGGGGGTGGAAGGCCCTGGAGAAGAGGACACTGGAGCAAAGATTAAGAGGGGATGGGTGAAAGCAAATTAAAGAGAATACAAACAGAAAGAGGGGAGGCAGACCTCAAGGTCAGGGACGCCTTAGTAAACCACGGAGGGGCACATTTTCAAGGGAAGATAGGGACTGGCTACAACAAGGGTCTGAGTTTCATAGGTTTGGCAGGGCCAGGTCACGGGAGGAATGCTGTTGGCAGCTGGTGGCTGGCTCATTTAGGGTGGGGCAGAAGGGCAGGTAGGGGAACTGTAGATAAGGGAAGTTCCCTGGGGATAGTTATTTTCCATACCCTCCAAGGGGGTCCTGAGTGTAGGGAGAAGATAAACCCGGAGTGGCAGTGCAAACATCCTGAGGTGAGTGCAGCTGGCTTACTCCTGGAGGCAGCACAGGGAGGCAGGCAGGTGGGCCTGGTTTCCCAGGTCTCTGTGGGTGCTGGGTGGGTGGATGGGTTGACATCTTTCAGCAGGGCAAGGCAGGCAGGTGAGCAGGATTCCCCACCTGATGCCCAGGCACCTACAAGCTTACCTACAGCCCAGCTCTGGTCCATGGATCAGCATTCCACAACACTTGGGGTTCCTGACCTGCCTGTCCAGACCAGTGAGGTTATAATAAGGCCCCTTACAGCCCACAGCGACAGGGAGGGGAGGGAAGGACGGTGTAGTGGTGAGTGTGTGGTGGGGGTCTTCACTTTGCGCTGGTAGGAGGTAGTGGGCCTGCTGGTGCTGGGTCCCTGCTGTCTCTCGTGCGTGCTCCTGAAGTGCGGCCCCCTTTACTGCACTGGGGGGCAAAGTGCCCGCATTCAGCTGGGCTCCGTAAGGCTCAGCCTCCATCTTCTCCCTCTGAGCAGAGTCGCGACAACAGCGGGTGGCCCTTCCCGGAGGCCCCACCCAGTCTCCAGGCCAGAGTCCGGGCTCTGAGTCAACTCGACCTCCGGCCCTCCCCGGGGCGAGGCCGACTAGCGTCTGGGGCCGCAGGGACTGCGCGGCGGACTGGCGCTTTTGTCCTGCAATGAAGCCGCGCTCGCCGAAGGCCGCCGCCGCAGGTCGCGGGCTCCGAGACCGTGCCTTGTGGATTCTGCGCCTCGCTTTTGTACGGAGGCGGTCATTTTCACAATAACGCCAGTTCCGCGGCAAATCAAAATGCTCCCTGCTCCGGGTGCGGGTCAGGGGTGGGGGGACAGCAGGACCCCCCGGGGCAAGACGCCGCCCGGGCTTCGAACACAGGCGCCGAGACACGCCTAGGAGGGGGTCGGGCAGACTCTGCAGACCACAGGGGGAGGGCGGACCGCGCAGGTCCCACTGCGCACGCGCTCATCTTCCGCCGCGCTCCCATTGGGCATTCGCCCGCTGCCCCGTGATTGGCTCTGGCGGCCGCGCTCTCGGCCAATGGGTGCGCTGCTGTTGTCGTTGGGAGGATCTGACCGCGTGGAGAGCTGCGCTAGCCGATTGGGAGCGGCGTGGGTAGGGCGGTGAGGCTCTGGCTGCGATCCTGGCGGCCCCCGGCGGTGCACCCTTGCACCCAAGCGCGGTGTGCGAGTAGCGGAGCCCTGCTCGGTGGCCAGACCGCTCCGCCTCGCCGGGCTCACGGTGGTGCCTGGCCTCCTGCACTCTCTCCCAGCTTGCATCCTGCCAGTGCTTGTGGAAAAAGTGTCACCAAAAATCAGCAATGGCCATCGCTCAGATATTTGTCTAATTTGTAAATTATTTCAACGGATGTGTTGTTCGTAATGAAAATGTTAGTGCTTTATTATAACAGCTGTAAATCCGGAAAGCAAGTGTTGATGAGGATGTGGAAAAACTGAAACCCTCGTGCAACGCTGGTGCACGCCGTGAGAAACAGTTTGGCTGTTCACAAAGAGCTAAGCATAGAATGGCTGTGTGACACAGCAATTCCATTCCTGGGTACACACTCAAGGGACTCCGTTGGAGTCCTGGATACTGGTCTTTCCTATGTGCACTGCAGATATTCATAACAGGAAAAGGTGGAACTGACCCGCAAGTCTGCCCACCGAGGAATGGATATAAACAAATGTGGAGTATACACACAACGAAGTGGCCTTAACAAGGGAGGAAATGCCGACGCGCACTGCCACTTGATGACTTGGAAAGCCTTATGAAGGACACTACTGAACTGACATCTAGAATAGGAAAAGTCATAGAAAGTAGATTAGAGGTTGCAAGGGCTGGGGCGTGGGGGTGGGAAGTTCTTGGGTAAGGAGCACAGTTTCTGAGATGATGAAAAGTTGTGGCAATGGATAGTAATGGGGTGTACAACAAACACCGTGAATGTACTTAATGCCCTTGAATTGTACACGTAAAGGCACGCAAACTAGCTAACACACACACTGTACACACACACATGTACACACAATTTGAAAATGAATGATGTCATATACCCAGGACACGGAACTGTACATTTTAAACGGTTACAGGCTTTACAGCCGTCCCATTGGGAGCAGTGTGTGCTTCAAGTCTCTGCTCCAAGCAGGCTCTGGGTGTGGCAGGATTTCGTTCCCGGAAGGGGTGATCACTTCGGGGTGAGCCAGGGAGTTGCTTCCTTTCAAGAGAATGGGTAGCAGCTATTGGGTGTGAGCTCCACCGCTAAGACTGAGCTGTGGGCCAGGGCAGGATGCCTCCCTACGTGAGGAGGCGGGTCCATTGCAGAGGGAGGACAAGGCTGCCGAAGGCCTGGACTTCCTCAGGTCACAAAGCTCCAAGCGATGGGGATAAAACCAGGCCGAGCTCCTGGCCTGCTGCTCCCCAGCTCGCGGCCGGGTGCCCCCAGCTCCTACCATCACCTAACGTGACCCTCCCCCCCCCCCCCCCCCAGCTTCTAACTTATGCTGCTCGCATTTCGGCCAGCAAACCTTTCCTGGCCCCGCCTCTTCGGGACCCTAGTGAGGTCGCTCAGGAGACTTCTTGCTTCTCCCGCCCCCAGCACAGACGCTCGCTCCAGAGTTCCTAAGTAGCCCACGCCCCAATCAGGAACTCACTGCGTAGACGTCCCGTCCCGAGGCCTGTCCGCCTGCTCTTCACCAGCTCGCTATACCGAATGAGACCGCTGGAGGGCGCCCCCGCACTGCGCCTACCGGCCGGTCGGCTCCCGCGGGAGTAGGGCGCTGGAAGTTGATCTCCTGGTTCACGCCAGAATTGTAATCGAAGAGCCAGAGCGGGAGGCTACACAGTCGAATTTAGACCCAAGCTGGACTCACTTGGTGCCCACGGGAAGTCCTAGACTGCACGAAAGCTCACCAAGTCACCAGATCGGGGAGAAAACAGAGAAACAGTGCCATAAACTAAGTATTAGTGCCGTAAACCAAGTTCATTTCTCCCAGCACTTACTTGTGGACTGCTTTGGTGCCCACCCCTCTATGGGCAGCTGGAGTTATGTCCCACATGCATGAGTGAGTGAGTGCTTCAGGGTGCTTGCCCGGTGGCTCAGGCATCCTTTCTCCCCATTTGGCTCACCCCAACCCTGTGCACCTAAACACCTTACTCAAAGGCAGAGGTGTGCTTCTCACTGGTGACTTCCAAACAAGAACTTACAGCACCACTGCCCCTCTCCCCACCACTCCTGCCTCTCCGCACTCATCCCCCCTGCAGTATGTCGTCCTGCAGCAGCTGAACCCGGTAGCCAGGAAAGAGATCAGCACCCACATGGGTCTCCTGGCCACAAACAGGACACCTGCAGAGGCTGTTCAGCACCTCTCCCAGTGGCAGACAGTGGCACTTTCTAGTCCTAGTCCCCAGATATTTTTTGGACCCTCAGCCAGCCCCTGACCTCATGCTGGCCAATGCCCCTCTCAGTCTCCCAGCCTGGGGCTCCTGAGCTGCAGATGAAGGCCCCCTCTGGCCATTCTACCTGCCCCGGGAGCTTGCCGAGGAGAGTCCCAGGTGACCCAGTAATGGCTACTTGACATCAAGGGACAGACCTGGTCTCGCTGTCCAGGGTAACAGAGTAAGGATAGCTGTTTGGCTAAATGGTGGCCAGTGGTGGCCATGATGGGGAGCTTGGCCTGCTCCCCTGTCCCACCCTAGCAGCAAGCAGTGTGAAGAGATGCCCTTGGCCCTGGGTTTTGGGGAAAGGCATCTGAACAGGTTACTTTGCTACCTTTGCATTGAGTCTGGGCCTGGGAGCCACTTGAGTGGGAGGGATGCTGCAGCAGATGCCAGGCTCCCGGGCAGTGGCTGCCCCTGGTCAGTGGGGTCCCAGCAGCAGGCACCTACATCATTCTCAGCCTGTCTGAGGGGAAGCTTCTGCTCCAGGTGGGTGACCCTGGCCCTGGCTATCACTCCTGTGATCGGCCGCCTTTTTCCTCTGCCGCCTCCCTCCCAGCTTCCAGAGGCCTCCACGTGAGCCTTTGGAAGAAGCCTGGTGCCCTGAAAGGTTTAAGGAGGTAGGCAGCTGAGAGGCCTCGCACTGCTTGCCCCCTGGATGGAAGGGCACCAGTCCCCACCCAGTCTCCTACACCAACCACCTCTGGTAACGTGCCCTCCCTTTTGTCATCACAGAGGGTCCCCTGCCCACAAACAGCAGGGGAAAGGGAGTATGTCTGAACCTCAGAGCAGAGCGGGGAGGACACCCCTCACAGACCCAGCCATGCTGCCCTGACTCTACCCCCCTCTTCCTTCCCACTCACCCAGCTCCTAGCCACCCTGATGGGGCCTGTTTAATTGATTCAATTTGTTCAGCAGTAAAAACACTCCACAGATGTCAGCCTCCCAGCACCCCATCCCCGGGGAGCTGCAGACACCTGCCAAGGCCCTAGGGCTGGGAGTCCTTCCAGGGGCCACTAGCCCATGCTGCTGAGGAGGCCCTGGTCCCCGTGCTGCTTGCTGGGAGCTGCAGTAGGTGGCCCAGTGCCCCAGAGCTGAGGATAACCCTGTGGCTGGGGGCATGCTCCACCCACAGGTATCCCGAATGCTGACTGCATTCAAACATCATTCTCATGGAACTGGGTGCTTTTACAGACTCCCAGGACTGGAAAGGTGACCTTGGAGCTGACCCTGATTTTGGCCAAGCTGCCATCTCAGGACCTGAGCCATCATCAGGGCTCACTCTTCTCCACCAAAGCCCTCGGACTTGGAGGCTTTTCCAGGTAAATCAGTGTTGGCAGGGGGACTGAGGATTCCCAGTCCCTGATCTCCTTGGCTGCACACCCCCATGGGGAGATAGGGAGCCTATGTCCACAGCTGGCAGCACTGCCATCTACAGCTTCGCTGGGAAATGCTTCAGGCAGGGAAGGTGGTGGACTCTGAGGTCAGCAGATCCAGACCTGAACCCTTGACCCTCCAGCCCAGCCCAGAGCCCTTTCTCCCTGTGAGGGCCCCTGGCCCCTGGGGCCACCACTTTCCACCCCAGAGGGAGGCCACTGCCATTGATTGATGGAAAGGATGATTGCAGAGGGGATGATTTAGGGAGAGTTTGCACAGCTGGCCAGGGTGAAGCAGGGGTTCTGCCCCATTCCCATCCAGCCCATCTGGGAGAAGTAGCCTCCCCACTCCTGGTTAGAAGAAACGTTCACCCTGAAGACAGGCTCAGGTTGGAAAAACTTGGAAACCGCGTCTCTCCTGCTAGACAATCTCCTATGTGCCCTATCTCTGGAAAAACCCAGAGCCTTCTATCATTAAGGTTAGATTTTAGAAAGATCCGAAGCTCATGTGATAGGGGCAGTTCTTCGCCACAATTCCCAGAAGACAGGGATAAAACCAGGGTAAGGAAACCAGGGACAGAGAATGCAAGGGCTTGTCCAAGGTCAGAGCCCGCGCCGCTCGCGTTTCAGGAAGCTGGTTCTCGCTTGCGAGTGCGGGCTAGCCGGGGTGCGGGAGACGCGCGCAGGCAGACCCCAGCCCGGAGGGCGTCGGCGCGGGCGCAGAGAACAAAAGAGCGCTCCGCCCCCGTCCCGCCGGCCGGGCCCGGCCAGGTCCGGCCAATCGACGCGGCCGCGGCAGCCAAAGCTTGATGATTGGCTGAGCGTCAGCCAATCATGCACCCAAGCTGCGAGCCCGTGCGGCCCCACGTGGGGCGGTGCGCGCGGATACGGGTTGCGGCGCGCGTGGATCGGCCGCGCGCAGCGCGCTCGGAGGCTCGGGCCGACTCGCACCGCCTCCAGCGTCCCGCTGCCTCGGGGCCCGCGGGCGGTGCTGCGGCTTCCAGAGCGCGGGTGGAGCGCTGAGCCTCCTGCTCACAGGCGCTGCCCGCGTGGTGGCCGTGGTGGTCGTCCCCTGCTCGCTCGGGAGACGGGCGCCCAGGGACTGCGGAACAAGGGGAAGGAAGCGGAGCGCCGTCTGGGCTTGGCCTGGAGGCCGAAGCGGGTGGCTTGGAAGGAAGGAACACGCTGCCCTGCTGTTCGCTGTGGAGGGATCAGTTCATTCATTGATGGAGTTGGTTATTGACACCTCCTCCTCTGATGCCCTGGGGACACAAATAGCAGTGGCCCCTGCGGAGGCTTGGGGGCTAGCCTCCCCCCGCCCCCCCCCTTTCCATTAGTCTCCCCTCCAAACTACTCCAAGTGGAACATGCAAGAATGTTTTTGATATGGGCAATTGACACGGTCTTACATTTTTATGGCACCCTCAGACGGGGCATTTGAGGAGAGCTGAATAAATGGAAGATACATGGGCTTAAGGAGAGGCCTGCAATACCCAGGGCCAGCAACAAAGGGGAGCTGTTATCCCCCAGACCTGAAGGACAGCTGCAGCAGAAGAAGCCCCTCTCTGGGAGCTGTGACCTTGGAGAGGGGACGCTGTGACCTGGCAGGAAGGAGCCTGTTTTCCTATGTGGACCTCACTTTCCTCCTGTCTGCTGGGGCTCCCCATTGGCTAGATCTAGGAAGGAAAAGCCAGGCCCACCGGTATGGTGCCTGCAGTCAGCCTCTGGGGCCCAGGGCAGGTGGCTGGGGCAGGGCAGTGGGGGGTGACCAGCACTGAAGTGTGAATAAAAACCTCCTAGGACACGTTGCTGTTTAGTTTTGTTTTGTGGGTGACAACTTGCCACGCAAGTGGGAAGAGAGATGTGCGTCCTCTGCCAGGGCCTGGAGATGGCTGGTTGGGGCTAGGCTGAGTCCCTTCCTGGTGCAGAGCCTCTGGAGCCTCCCTGGACCAAGGGGGCCTTCTCTGGAGGGTTCCTCATCCCCGTCAGTGAGGAGTCACAACAGGAGCCAGAGCAGTGGATGAGGAGGACCTCGGGCCTGTCAGTGCCCTGGGCGATGCTGTCCAGGCTGCTCCTCCTCCAGGTGGCCCTCTTGGATGTTCCATTTTCCTTAGACACTCAGCTTGTGTCACCAGGCACGATGGGACCGGAAGTCCCAGGGCAAGGGTGGATACTGCTCACTGTTGTTCCTCCACAGGGCCTGCTTTTCTGAGCACTCAGCACATAAGGAGGAAGCACCGTGAGTTTGCTTGCACGAAGCCTGACGTGAGGGCTTCCCTCCAAGGCAGGGGACATTTATTACCTCAGCAAGGCTTTTCGGAGAGGTCTTTCTGCACCAGGCTGGGCTCAATCCTGAGAGTCCCAAGGAGGAAAGGATGTGTGCAGTCCAGGGTGGGAGAGTGCAGTGGTCTAGCAGTGCAGCCACACACAGGTCCAGGCTGCAGCGTCTGGAGCCCTGAGTGGTCAGGAGGGGGAGGGCTTACAAAAAGGGGACAAGGGGAGGAGGGCGCACTAGAGGTGGCTTTGAAGGGCAGGTAGGAGTCGGTGGTGGAAAAGGTGTGAAAGGCGGGGCTGAGGAAGTGACACCAGGGGCTCCAGCCGTGTGGCCTCAGTGGGGTCTGGTGGTGTGCACAGCTGTCCTTGGCCACATGGGAGCCAGGGACCCTGGCAAGCCACCCTCACCCTCCACACCTGTCACATGGTGATGATAACGGGCCTCTTGGGCAGGCTGAAAGGGCACACAGCCATGTGCATGGCACAGTGCCTTGAGCTTGGTGGTCACAGGCTCTACATGCACACAGGAGCCGTCAGTGTCTGCTCTGGGCAGGGAGGTGGGTGCAGACGACCTGTGTGCAGACAGTAGGGTTCCAGTGAGGATGGCCCTCAGGGACATCATTCGGCAGAGATCACTA